GTGATTCCACCGTCAGTATATTGCTTGGTAACGGCAACGGAGCATTCCAAACGCAAAAAATAGATGCAATCGACGCCTATAAATGTCATCTATTACTTTTTGTTAATCAAGATTTATCACGTCGGCAGGTTTTAGAGAACCTATCTTATGACTCAGTCTACATATACATGGACTGGGCCATGAAGTGGATTCCGCAGAAGTTCACGGAATCTTAGGAAGATTTTTTTGCCAAACGTGGGTTAAGTGGTGACGTGACGTTTCATCCAAACCCCTCTTTTTTTACAGGACTTTCCTACTAAATAAATAACAGGACTCTCGTTCCGAAAATCCTCGTTTTACAAGGCTTTTGTACCTGTTTTACCTTGCCTTCGTAACACTATCAGCAGGGTAATATCGTAACGATAATGCAAGGAATTAATCTCTAATCAATGCTTTGACAGGGCTTTCGTAAGACTCTTTTACACGGCTTTCGTAACGGAAGCTATATGTACTTTTTATCCCAGATATATATGATAATGCTGCATTACAGGGCTTTCGTAACGAATGCTACCTCTTATTGCAAATGAAAGAGAAAACAGATAGAAACAGTAAGAGTGAGCATCCACTTAGACATTAATCCCTTTGCATTATCTTTACGAAAGCTCTGTAAAAATTTTAGATGATCAACTGACTGCCGAAACAAATTAGCGACAAAAGCTACGAAATATGATTCGGTCTGCACAGCAACAGGCAATTCTACAGCTTTCTAAGGACAATTGACCAGTCTCACTTCCGGAGAGAGACAAATCGACACTTGATTTGTTGCCTAGTAGAACGGACTGAGAAACTTTAGTTATATTCGAAAAATGTCGATGTACGAAACTTGAATTTTTTAAATGATTCAGCAACAAAAACTTTTCCTTCCCGTCACAAAAATTACAAGACACTTTGTTTTGTCCAGTTTTCAAGTCAAACTTAAAAGGACTGTGCTGAAGAACCACAACAGAGGAAATAAAACTAAAAGGCGTTGATGTACAACAGAACAATAAATACGCTAGTTACAGAAACTATTGATCACATGAGAATCTCTTTCTCGTCTTTGTCATTCTTCAAAAAAATACCGAAGAACATACCATCTACGGATTCAAAAGCTGCGCCGAAACCCTGTGCCGTTGGTTTTTACAATGCACTCTATGCACAGACCAAATGTCGTCCGTGCACACAAGGTTCGACAACACAAATAGTGGGGCAAACTGCCTGTATAAATGTCGTGGGTTGAAAACTTTTTCTAACGATTTTCTTTGCAGAATGAACTTGTGTTTTATTTTTGCTTCTGCTTCTAATTGAATGATATAAAGAGTTTAACGGCGGTTGTAGAAAAAAGAAGTGATGAATATACGCAGTTACCTTCTTTCCAGAAATGATAAGAAAAAAACTAAATCATTTTCGCAAATATTGAACCATGAGAGAATATTCTTAGTTTGAGAACAGAATCATCTCTCACAACAAGCATCTTTGTTATCATCATATCATATACAATAAAACTGATAAAAAGAAAAAACTAGGAAGTAATGAATCTAGCTTTTGTAAATATTGAATTTTGAAAAGTAACCTATAAGTACTTCAGCTCTTATCTGTTCTCTACCTTAAAACACAACAAATCCATTCTTTCGAACTATAACGTCTAACGAAGAAAGTAATCTATGTGGACGTTGTTTAATTGACACTAATCTCACTTTATTTTTATTATAGCAAAATGATGAAATTTTTGGTTTTGGTATTAGGTGTGCTTACATCCAGTTTGGCTGATTCAAACGCAGTCAGCCGAAATTACGATGAAGAAATATGTGATCCGCATACAATGACACTAGCACAATATCCAGCAATTCTTACAAAATTAGATGTTGTTTTAACGAATCCATTAAAATTACGTGCAACTTTCCGTTTGCCGAATAGTACGAAAGAAATTACAGCAGAAGGAATGTCTTACGGCAGTACTAGTTCCTTCACTCAGGATAGTGCCATCGTTGCCTGTCGCTCACTTGGATGTAGTAAAGCAGCTGGAAGAGTTACTATGAGTTGGACACCAACTCAAGCATGTCGATTTACTTGTCCTGACGGTACCAGTGCGTTACAGACGTGTCGTAATATGCAACAAGATTTCCGATGTCCAACAGATGCAATGAGCCTAAAAGAGTGTATTACAAAACCATTTTTTAGTATATCAGGAAATAACCTAAATGGCATAGCATTCGTGTGTTCGGAATGTGGTGAAGATTAATCTAGATTGATAACTGATTTACACGTTCTTCGACCTCATGTGAACTTCTTTTAGTTTTTCTTGACAATAAAAGCCATATCAGTATTCGAGCTGTTCTTTTTAAGCGAAAATAAAAACTTTATTAATCAGTCCACGAAATGATTTTTGGAAAGACCTAAGCATAGGAGTGCAATTTTCCCCTTCCCAATGTCTGTTTTGTGTGACGTATCACACACAGTTTTAGTATATAATTCAAAGCGTGTGGAAAGAACCTTCTGTGCCAGCGACGAGATACACATTGCTAGATGCAGTTTTTGATATTGACTCCAATGGTGAAAACCGCCGCTCGCTAGCTTTATCAGAAAAAAAATTATACACATTTTATTCTTTAGCTAAAACTAGAATTTTTCAGTTTTCCAGCGGAAATGATCTTTTTTGCACAGCTTGTAATAACCACAGTCTCTTTCGTGGAACCTTGAGTTTGGTCTTAAATGAAAGAGGACGTCGTGTTCCACATAATTCAATGAAAAAATCTCGTGCCAATACTCCCGGTCACGAGATGGAGATCTCTGAAAAACCTGGTGTTCCAAAAATCCTGCAAGGCACAGACATAGTCCAAAGTTATTTTTGAGCCCACTATTCAAATAGCCCGTTCAATTCTGAGCAAAATTGCATATTGCGCAATTTTTTACAATGTTGTGTCAAAAGTTATAAGCAAAACGTCCAAGCTAGTATTTTTGGACACATCTCAGTTTGGAGGTCTCATTCTGTTCCAAATTGAACGGTCTATCCAGTGATGGGCCCAGAAATATCTTTGAACTATGTCTATGCCTTGCAGGATTTTTGAAAAACCAGGTTTTTTCGAGCTCTACATCTCAAGATCCTGCGTATTCGCACGAAATTTTTCGATCGATCTATGTACACTTCGACGTCTGCTTTCATTTAAGACCAAAGTCAATGTTCCATGAAAGGGACTGTGGTTTTCACAAGCTTTGCAAAAAGGTCATTTTCACTGGAAAACTGTGAGAAGTGCCATAGTTTTAGCTGAAAAATAAAATGTGTAAGTTATAACTTTTTTTCTAACAAAGCGAGCTGCGATTTTCACCATTGGAGTCAATATCAAAAACTGCATCGAGCAGTGTGTATCTCGTGAATGGCGCAAGAACTTTAGTATAACGTGGTAGGTATCATATGGATTTACACCGCTCAGACCTTATGTCGTCTTCAGTAAGACTACTGCTCCCTATTTTGAAAAGGAAGAGAGTAGCAATTCTTGTTTCAGTCCAACGGCAGTACAGAACAGAAAACAAAACCAGCTCCGGGCTTTCCGTTCATGACGGCAACGAAAAGATGAAGAACAAAGCATCTTCTAGCTGTACTTGAATAAACAGGCAATACAGTTTATATATTGTTGGGCTGACTTTAAATTTCTTTTCTTTAATATTTTCTAGGAATTCTCCAAAGAACGCTTTGACGTTCCAAAGTTCTTCACACATCAGAAAGGTAAAAGGAAACGCACGTAATTCGAAGTTTAAGCACTATTTTATTTTTCGCTTATTTATACGCTAGTCGATAGAGAATTTCACGCTGATCACGAATATCATCTTTTTGCTGTTTCGAAAAAATTGACACGAAGTCTTGTTTGAACGCCTTAAGTAATGTGGGACAAGTGTATCGAAGAGAGTTTTTGACGCAGGTTGTACAAAATGCACCGTTTCAGTTAAAAAGACGTTGATTGAAACTCTGCGCGGATAGGCAACGAGTTCCTTTGGTTTGGGTAAGACCCGACTGTCTACTCCTGCATTCGTAGTCGCTCAAGAAACTGTTGATGGCGTTAGAAAGAGCAGTGAGACTTTCACTTCCTCTTAAAAACTTTATCTTTGACGCACAAAAAACTCTAGAATGATCGGAACGAGAAAATCTACTTCGACTTCAACGGTTTCTTTCGTTTGAATGAACAAGTTTTCTCTCCCACTTTACAGTTTTTTTGACCTTTCCAGAAAAAGAGGCGAACCAGACGCACACTGCAAAACTTCTTTCTCATTAAAACTTACTCAATTACCTTTCAACAAGAAAAAAACTAACGATTGCATCGTTCAAAGGCAGTTAAACTTAACTTGGAGCAGTTTTCTCTCGATAAAACTCAGAGAAACTCAAAAAAATGACTTCACTTGAGAAAGCTGCAGACAAATTAACTTATTGAGATACGTCTCTTTTATGTTTAAACAACTGAAAACGACAACTCATGGCCTCTGAATTATGACACAATACTGTACAAATTTCGGCTGACCACACACTATAAATGTCCGAAATCAGCTTTTCTGCGTTTTCGCAAAATAGACTTTGGTCATAGAGATTAGATAGTGGAGTGCTCAGCAACAACTGCACCGTAGAGAAAGGCCTCTCAAAGTGTATCAGCCGCATGGTGGATTGGGACTGAAGATTGTATGTTTGTCATACCTTCAATTTTCATTTCATCAGGCATCTTTTTCCCATCCCGACAGAACTGTCCACTTTCCAAATTTTCACCATAGACTTGACATAAAATTGAATCAGCACACAGTTGTGGATCTCTTGCATCCTCAGCTTCATGGGTTATATCGGTTTTACAGTAGCCCGGACAGACAGCAGTAACAATAACATTCTTTCCAGGATAATTCCAATTACGTGCTACAATTCGAGTCAGTATATTCAGTGCCAAGTTTGATATAGCGTAGAAGGTTGACATTGGATGTAATGGTTGATTAAGACCGACTGTTTTTGGATCTTGACCTTCTTCAATGGCTTTGAATAACCTGTGAGAGAGAACAAA